CCCCAAAACCCCAAAACCCCAGAATGCATCATATTATATAAAAGTTTGCTAATAGTTAATTAATAAAAATATAATTTTAATGAGCAAATAAGAGATAAGGCCAAAATTGCCATTGCTATTCAACCCTGCATCTAATATCAAAGTGGAGAGAATCCATTCTATTAGAGAACTGTCACCCAGTGATGAGTGTCCTTATCAAAATATTAAAATCTGTACTTTCCCTTTAATTGGCTAAGATGTAGAAAATAGAAAAAACATCGAGAAGTAACTAAGCGCAATGGATTCCTATAAGAAATAGCTTCAAAAATAGGTAAATATCCAGATATCAAATTAATGTCATCATTTTAGAAGGATAAACTTCAAATGATACAAAGAATGAAGAGAGCTAAATCTTAGGCTAAGTTGTAACAGTGTGAAACTTCCCAGTAAAGTCCAACTGCTACAATACGTTTAAATGAGATAAGGCAAATAAGCTAGGAACGTGACATGAGTTCAGATAGAAATCCAAAAAGCAGAAATAATTAATTAACTGTCCTATCAGATAGGGCCAGAATTTTTACAAAAATTTAAAGGCCATCGGTAGAGAAAACACCTAAACTACATGCTCCTTAGAGATTCAAATCTATCAATAAATCAGCCTAAATTCTAACTGAATAGAGATCACTACCATAGATGAAAACAGTGGAGCAGTAGATATCTCCTAAGCAGATTCATCAATACTACTAAAAGATAAAAGCAAGTCCAAAGCCAACTCCATTGAGAGAAGCAAAATATGTTACTCCCTAATTACGTTTGGAAAGAAAAGAATCTTCTATAAATACAGAGCCTAAAATTACCACTATTTTCAATTCAAGATCAGTGTCGAACGTTGAGGATCCCTCAATTAATAGAGATTCATTATCACCTAGCAAACTCAGAGTGTAATTACCCACATTGGTATACAGTATATTGAATGACAGCAGCAATGAAAGCATTATTAATGAATATGAGTATATGGATTATGGGAATAAAGTGTATAAGTGTGAAAACTCTTAAGCAATATAATAATTTAAAAATAAAAATTTTAATTGCTTCTGTTAAAAATATGATTATGGACATTTTCATTCCAGATTAATCTCCTGAGATTGTCACACTAAAAAATAAGAAGCCATATCTCTAATTTGACTATATCGAAAAGCTTTAAAACTTCATCTTTTACGATAGATATAGATTTTAGATAGGAAGTGAAGCGATTAATGATTCTAGCATCAATAGGCAAATGTAGAAACTTCGAAAATCAGATGACATTATATATTTGAACTATTAGAGGCATTACTATTAAGGTTAGATTCTGATACTTACAAAAGATAAAAGATTTTATATTTACGATTTGGCTTAATAGCATTTACAGGATATCTCTTCAAGAATGCCTAAACTACTTATGGATAAAATTGTCTTACCTAAAATCAAAAGTGGGTTTTCAAATAAGATTTCTTAAGGCAAACCAAAATTCGAATTGCTCAATAATTTTGTAGAGTTTGAACTGTATCAATCTTAACTGGGATTTTTATTCAAAGACGGTCAATAATCATTAATTTTGTTTCTTGCTAGAGACTAATAGCATCCATTAATATTAGTAGAAGACTATGATGATTTTGATTTCGTTGAATGGAAGAATAATTTATGCATTTAAAGTTTCAAAATCAAGAATGATAGAGTAAAAATATAAAGTGTACGGTTAAGCTTGAAAGATGAAAATATTCTTAAAAACATTACAAATGCTTCATTTCACATAGAAATGTTGAAACCAAATTAAAGTTTAGAAAATAAAACGACTACTTATAATCAATTTCTAAAGATTAAGTTTGCAGTAATGAATAAAAATAATTTGAGGATGTGTATTGGACTTAATACTGAACCTGATAAATTTTACCTATTCTTGATAGATGTGTATCAGACTAAAAGTGTAATAAATTTGACTTAGAGAGTTAATATGCAATTATTAGAATCCACCAGAAATTCCTAAATAGAATCTATCTAATGGTCCTATTAAGTTAAAGGAAACGATAATGATTTACTATTGATATCATTTACAAATGGAAATCTGCTATGCTTTAATGATAAGGGTTAATAGATAAGATTGCTTGCGCAAAGTTTGTATAGTTAAGAAATGCTTTAAAATCGACAAATGTTCTTAGAGGATTTTATGAATTAGGCATAGGCTAATGAGTAAAAAATTAATTAATATAGATTAATGAATAAGGCATTGATTAACTCTTAGAATGAATTGTCATTATTTGATGGATATAGAGTAAATAAACTAAAGTTAAAACTATAAAATAGGGTAAATTATAGTTTTGATGAAACTTCGAGGCAAAAAATGATAATGTATTAAGATTACCCTATTTTTACGTATAATCAGAAATTTCTTATCAGTGACGATCTATATCTTAACCCTTACAAAATACTGAGTAACTTCATTAAATATCTTAGATATAATGAAAGTTAACAAGCAAGCCATGAAATGATAACTATTGCGATTAATTCGATGATATTTTGTATTAATTAGAATCAGGAAATAATTGCTTACTAATACCTTAGGCTTCTTGATACATTTGGATCATGAAGGAAATCATTAGACAATTAATATTCATAGTTTTAAAATAAGTTTAGAGAATCATAGAGTATTGAACTTCTATAGAATAAAAGATTTAGGAAAATTGATTATTATCATGAAACTGAAGATACTGATATTTCTCCTCTCTATACATCATAATTTGTCTTTTTTCTTCTCAAAACATTAACTAGAATAAGAAATTTATCACAGTCAAACAAAGATCCAAATGAAGCTTTCAATTCATTTTTAATAAAGTTTAGATCACTGGCTATTGCAAAGAATATGATCAAATCTCATTTTAAAGATATTAAACTACTAAAATCTTAAGCTAAGATTATGATGTTACAGTTCTTATATAATTTTAGAGATAGAATCTTCCCAGAAAACGAGATTTCAATTAAAAACAGATATATTGCATTAAGATAAAGGAAAATAGTTAGGAAAAATGTCATTTCTAAGTTTTTATACACACTTCTGCAGTCTGATGATTCTAATTCCCTGAGTAGAGCAATAAAGTTGTTTAAAGACGAGCATTTAAATCTTAAACTTTAGGAGCAGCAGACATTGCTATATTTTTTAAATAAGATTATCTAAAATACTTGTTAAGAATCTAACTCTGTTCAGGTCAAACTACCAAAATATCTAGGGTTGTAAGAAAAATTAAAAGAATTGAACTTTGCCTAGATTTAACAGTATATTGATTGTGAACAAATAAATAGGAAATATAACTTTAACATTAATCCTAGATTAAAATTTAAGGACTACCTACACAAAGAAAGCTTAAGTATTTATTAGAATCAAATTAATTAGGATAGCCTTAAAGGAAAAAATTTTAAAAGCCTTCAAGAATTTATGTTTATCCAAAAGCTGTAGAGTGAGAAGAAAATAAACATGCTAAACTTTTAGAAACAGTAGGACATCTTTATTTAGCTTTTAAAACTATTTATGACAAAAAATTTAAGCATCAATATGACTGAAGCATCATTTTTAAGCCTGATTTATCTAGGTATACTGGATATAAATAATTAATCAATAAGACATTCATAGCATTTGATTTTCAACTAAGTAAAATCCTCAATAAATTCAACTAATAATCAAGTCCCAGAAAAATAGCCCAAATTTATAATAAATATGCTCCAAAATTTAAACGGACTCAATCTGAAATAATATAATAAAGCTAAATAGATTAAAACTGGTTTAAATAATAATAATTTAAGGCTGAATAACTTGTTATTTGAACTATATACCTTGTAATTAGGTCACTTTAAAGTAAACATTGATATAAACTACAATACACTTGCAAATGCAGCAAGTATGGAACTAGCTTTATAGCAAATGATGAGGTTTAATGAGTATGAAGATAAAGTAAACTAATAAATGGCAGGAAATTTAATCAGTGCAAGAGATAAAGTAAAAACTGAATCTGATCTTGGACAGGTTAAGTTAAATGCTTGGATGATCCTCCTATATCTTTGGTATCTTTAGTGTTAATTTAAGAGTATTAATTCTAAAGATGGTAGTACTAATAAATTATCTAACGAGATAAGAGCATTTTATTTAGGCAGGGCAATGAAGATTAGTAATGATTATGGAAAATTAGACTTTAATTTGGCATCACTGTAGGAATAAGATATGAAAGATTTGATGGAGATCTACTCTATATCTAGAAACTTAAAACTAGAAGACTACATTGGAAAAATAATATTGGACTCAGAATTCCAGAGATTTCTTAAGAATATGACTAAAATCATTAAAAAGTATTCCTAAAAGTAAATATAAAGTAAGAGCATTTGCATTTTATATTAAAATTATAGACTTAAATCATTATGTTTTGCAAGTTGAAGATTTGATAAAGATAGAATATCAAAATCAATATCTTAAACTTAAGGATTTACTTGGGATCAAGATGAATTATACAGTGATCTATGACTTAAAAGAGGACTAGTTTATTTAGCTTAAACGTGTTAGAAAGTCCTGGTTCAGATAATTAAATAATTCTAAGAAGGTGAAATAATAGAAAGTCGAAGCTAAAGAAGTATTTGAAGAATAATAATCTTTCGAGTAAATAAAGTCTGTAAGAGATAAGATATCAATTAGGAAAGGAACAGAATAGGAAATTTAAGAACAAAGGGAAGAGATGAATAAGATTAATCAGCAGATAGAGACACAGGAGCAGGTTTATAAAATTGAGGATCAAAGTAACTTAGATAAAAGCTTTTTCTCATTGAAAGATGATCAACTGGATAAGTCAGCACTCTTAGACGTGTCACAAATTATGGATGATAAATCAGACTTCTAATCGTAATATGAAGAGTAGAAACAGATGCTATAGGATTTAACTTAGAAAAGCAGTGAAGTTGTTTCTAGGTAAAAATTTGAAATGATAAGCGAGCATGATGATTTCTCAAGAGCTTCAAGTAAGGACCAAGAAGATCTGAATATACCTTATGAATAGCTATTTAAAAGAAAAAACCTAACTTAGAGGTATGAGCCTCCTGAAAAAGCATTAATGAACACGGAACAGAAATTAAATATTCTAGCATCAAGATTTGAGAAGTTAACTGAAAGCATCTAAAATATAACGCAGATGATATGGAGGAAGTAAATCTAGTTTAAGTATCAGTTTTTTTACTAAATGAAACTCATTGATGAAATTAATAAATCTTAGGAGAAGATCAATTAAGAGTATAGATAGAGACTCTCCACTATGGAGCATAATCAAGATCTCACTACCTAGAGATCGATATAGGATAATGAAGTCAGTTCATAGAATTAGCTCACTTCAATAACCCATACAGATAGGACTCTTAAATTGAGAAAGCAGTCAAAAAGATATCAAACACCAGAATAGGTTTAGAATTAACAAAGATTTAGAAGTTTTAGTCCAGAGGAAGACACTGTTTAAAATCAGCATCAATTTAGCAGGCTTGAATATTCGCCTATTATAGTTGATGATACAGATTAAAGTGAGTATGCTAAACATAGTGACATGATTGACGAGAATTATTTCCCTAAGAATCGAGACACTCTTGGATTTAAAACTGGTTTAGATACTTCTAGATTTGCACATGCTCAATAAAATTAGATGTAAAATACTGAAGATTCTTAGTAATATAAAACTCAAAGAACCGACTTAAGTAGTTTGACTTATTTCATTGATCCTAAGGAACATATGAAAACTCTAAGATCTCCAATTATTACTCCAAAAAAGAAAGTACCCAGAGAGAATGTGAAACCTCATTTAAAGCAGTTAAATTTGACTGTGATAGAAAGAAGTCCAGTGCATTTTTAGGATGCCAATAAGTATAGTAAGCTTAATAATTCCAAGATTCTTGATTAAATTCATCTTCTTGGAAAAGATTAAAGAAAATAAAGTGTTCGGGTAATTAATTAAGATGGTAAAGCAAGCCCGAAAATGCTTAAATTTATGCTTTTGAAGCCAGATTCATCACTTATGTAAAAAACATATAAGATTCCTGTGATTGATAGATAATCACAGCCTGAGGTGAAATTATTGAAATTTAGAAATACTAAATGAAGTTTAATTAATTGATTATTGAGATTATAAAAATCTAAAAAATATGCAACATTATGGGGTTTTGGGGTTTTGGGGTTTTGGGG